ATCATTCTCCTGAGTATTTATCACAGAGAAATTAAAATCTGTGCCCAAACATCTGAACAAGAATGTTCATGGCAGCTTTATTTGTACTAGTCAAAAATTGGAATCAATCAAAATCTCTTTCATTTGGTGAACAATTTAACAAACTGTAATATATTCATGTCATGGAATATTACTCAGCTATAAAAAGGAATGAACTGTTCAATGATACATGCAACAATTTGGATGGAGTGAAAAAAGCCAATCTCAAAATACTGTACACTATATAATTCCATTTCTATAACATTCTAAAAATATTAAATTATAGAGATGGAGTACAAGTTAATATGTGTTAGGGGTTAGAGATGGTGGCAGGGGAAGGGATAGATGTGATATTAAAAGACAGCATAAAGGACATCAGTTCTGTATGTTGTCTGAGATGGTCAGTACACAAATTCATGCAGTTGTAAAAAAATGGCATATAGATGTGCACATACATTGTACCAATATCAGTTCTAGTTCTGATACTGTACTCTAGTTAGTTAAGACAGAACCACTGGGGGTAAATTGGGTTCAGGGTACTTGAGACTCCGGTGTACTATCATTGAAACTTCCTGTGAATGGATAATTATTTCAAAATAAAAAAAATTATACAAAGAAAAAATAAATGCTATAAACCCTAAAGTAATTACTAAAATAAAAATACAAGGTGCAATGGCTAAGAAGCCAACAAAAAACACATGATCCAAGAAAAAAAGAGGGTGGGTACAGAGGAAGGAATAAGGGAGCAAAGAAGAGATGGGATATAGAGAAAACAAATGGTAGATGGAAGCTTGAAATCCAAATATGCTAACAATTACATCAAAATGGTCTTAAATACTCAATTTAAAAGCAGAGATGATCGTATTATAAAGAAAAGGAGGGCCTAATGGAAATATACTTTAAACATGAAGGCACAAATGAGTTAAAGGTGGAAATATGGGGAAGATGCTGGTCTAACGGAAGCTGTAGTGGCTCTATCAGTATCATACAATGAAGATTTCACTGCAAAGAATATATCAGGGATAAAGAAGGTCACTTTATAAAGATAAAGACATCAGTTCATCAAGGGAACATTAATTTTACATGTTTATGCACCTAGTAATAGAGCTTCAAGATATATAATGGAAAACATATTGGCAAACACTGATAGAACTGCCAGGAGATAGAAATTCAGTTATAGGTGAAAATTTCAATACTCCCCTCTCAATAATTTATATAACAAGTTGGCAGAACATCAACAAATAGAAGTAAACAACCAACTTGATCTGACTGATGCTTAGAGAACACCCAACAGCATACACATTTTTCTCAAGCACACACACAAAAAAGACAGACCATATTCTGGGCCATGGAACAATTCTTAACAAATTTTAAAAGGTTTCAAGTCATACAAAGTATGCTCTTTGACCACAGTGGATTTAAGTTAGAAATCAGTGACAAAGATCTACATAGAATATTCCCAAATATTCAGAAACAAAATAACACATTTTTAAATAACTCAAGGGTTAAAGGACTCAAAAGGGAGTTTAGAAAGGATTTTTGACCTTAGTGAAAATGAAAACACAAAATATAAAAAGATCATGGGATACTGATACTACAATACTTAGGGGAAATTTTATAGCACTAAAGGAGTAAAATAGGAAAGAAGGTCTCCAACAATGATCTCAGCCTCCAAGTTAAGAAACTAAAAAAACAGAAAATTAAACCTGTATTAAATAGAAGAAAAGAAGTGATAAAGATTAGCATAGAAGTTAATGAAATAGAAAGAAAATCAAAGAAACCAAAAACTGGAATCCTGAGTATATCAATAAAATTGGTAAACCTCTACCAAAGAAGAGGAAAAAAAACAAGGAAAAAAAAAGACATAAATTACCAACATCAGGAATGAATTACTCATCACTAGTTTCTAGATAACCTAGCTATGAAAAATAACTATTGAATTTGTAGTTAAAAATGTTCCCACAAAGAAAACTCCAGACCTAGAGGGCTTCATTAGTGAATTCTACTGAATATTTAAAGAAGGAATAATAGCAATTCTGCACAAACTCTTCTAGAAAACTGAAAAGAAGGAAATGATTTTCCAATTCATTCTATGAGGGCAGCATTACCCTGGTAGCAAAACCAGATAAAGGCATTACAGGAAAAGAAAATTACTTGCCAATAATCCTAATGCATACAGAAACAAACATGTTTAACAAAATGTTAGTAAACAGGACCAAACAATATATAAAAATGATAAACAAAGGTCAAGTTTATAGCTCAGGAACACAAGGTTGGTTTAACACTTGAAAAAGAATGTAATCCACCCTATTAAAGAAGACTAGAAAAGCCAAATCATATGATCATCTCAATAGATGCAAAAATATCATGTCCAAAATTCAGCATCCATTTCTGATAAAAACTCCCAGCAAAACAGAAGACAACTTCTTGAAGCTGATAAGGGGCATCTTTGAAAACCTTAGAGATTAAACATACTTAAGGTGAAAGTCTGGATACTTTCCCCTGAAGATCAAGACGAAGGCACAGATGTCCAGTCTTACCGCTTTCTGAGACACTGTGCTGGAGGTTCCAGCTGCTGCCATGTGGTGCAGTAAAACAAGCAGGGGCAGTAACAACAAATCACACAGAAAGAAAGGCATTCTGATTTGAAAGAACTACTTTTATTTGTGTTATCACATGATCATCTATGTAGAAAAACCCTACTGAATCTTTTTTTTTAATATAGCTGGAATTTTTATATGGATATACACTCATACAACCATTGCCCAGACCAAGATGTCAGATATTCTCACTTAAATTTTTCCCCCTTCACCTATTTTACTCATCCCCTCCATCCTCCCCTGTGGCAACCACCAGGTTGTTCTGTGTTCATGAGTCAATTTTAATTCTGTTTATTTGCTTATTTTTAAAATTCCACATATAAATGAAATCATATGGTATTTGTCTTTCTCTGTCTACCTTATTTCACTTAGCATAATAATCTCTAGATTGTCACAAATGGCAAGATTTCATTCTTTTTTTATGGCTGAGTAATACTCCATTGTATATTCGATATACAATTGGTATGTAATTTGAATCTTTTTTTAAAGTATTATAACTAAATTTTAGCAAGGTTGTAGGACACAAGATCAATATATAAAAATCAATAGCATATCTATACATTAGCAATGAAGAATAGGAAATCAAAATCTAAAAACTATTTATAATTGCATCAAAAGCCTACAACATTGGAGGATAAATTTTGACAAAGGATGTTAAAGCCCTGACTACTGGAGACTATACAAATTTCAGACAGAAATAAATAAAGAACTTAATACATGGAGATACAGTATGTTCATGGATTGGTAGACTCAATTATTATTTAATGTCAATTCTCCCTAAATTGAAGTTTAATATAAAATTAATATGGACATAGAAGGACTCTGGATAGACAGTTTTTAAATAGAGTAAAAATATTACAAGACACAAACAATCTGATTTCAAGACTAATTATGTTAGAGTAATCAAGTCAGTATGGTATTGGCATAAAGACAGACAAAGAGAGTCCAGAAATTAGCCTACACACATGTATGAACAACTGACTTTCAACATCAGTGAAAAGGCAATTAAGTGGAAAAAAGACAGAATTTTCAACAAATGGTGCTGGAATAATTGAAAAGCCATATGCAAAAAATAAACCTTGATATTTACTCTTAGAATATAAAACATTTACTTGAAACTGGTTACAGACTAAATGTAAGATCTTGAACTATACAGCACCTAGATGGAAGCATGGGAGAACTTCTTAGTGAGCTTGGGTTTCTTAAGATTTCTGAAATAGGATACTTCAGGCACAAAGTATAAATGAAAAACATGAATAAAACAGACTTCATTACATTAAAAGCTTCTGCTCTTTGAATAACACTGCATAGAAAATAAAAAGATAATCCACAGACTAAGAAAAAATTTTTCAGAACATCTAATAAAGGATTTGTATCTAGCAAACACACAAACTCTTAAAATGCAACCAGTGTGTAATAAAAAATGGGCAAATTTCAACAGCTATATCAAAGAATTTACATAGATCTCAAGCATATAAAAATTGCTTAATATCATTAGTCATTAGGAAAATGCAAATTAAAATCACAATGTGATACCATTATACACACACTTGACTAGATAATAGTTTTTCAAGTAGCCATGCTGAGTGTTGGCAAGGATCTGGAGGGCAACTGGAACTCTAGGACCAGAGCCGAGCAGTAATTTGGTCAACAACAGAAGAGTTCCAATGAGAAGCAGAAGGCTGGATGCAGTCTTGGAGCGTTAGATTCTGGAAAAGTCTGTAACCCCTCTATCCCTATTATGAAACACCAGTACAACTCCTCAGTCTATTTGACCAAGCTCTTATGAGACTCAGTGAGATAATGTGAAACCACTTTATAAACTTGGAGTATTAATGTTTTTCTGTCAAAAACCACATAAATATGCATCTTTGGAAAGGCAACTTAAAGAAAGTGGTTGGAAAAATAAAATACTACAGTAAATCTTTTCATTGCCCTTATTTAAACTAATTTACATTACTTTTTCAAATTTAAATATTTAATTACTTAAGTGGTTTCCAAATATTTACAAAATGTGTCTGAAAAATAATACAGATGTCTGTCCAAATTAATATTTACCATTAATAAGATTATACTACTCTACACTAAGCATTTCAATAACTAAGTCAGCAAAGTGTTGATGTTTCTTAATATTTTAATTATTGCCTGTCAAATTATAAATTTGGTAGTAAAAATCACTGTTCACAAAGACATCATGAAGGTACGTTAACAAATCAATCTTGATTCATTCATTTTGCTTTTCCAGTTCTCCTGGCAGCTTTGTAATAATCCATGACTGTAGTTTTTCTAGTTCAGCTCTACTTAGCTCATGGTAAACACCCGGGAAACTATGAAACTTTGTGCCCACTCCTAGAGATTTTAACATTGAGTTTGTCTCCTCACCCCAAGAATGAAGAACTAACTCATCCGCGGTACCATGACACTGAAATAATTCAGGGAGTACACCATCACTTTTCTGAAGAGCCTACAGAAGATATAAAAAGGAAGAAGTTTAAGAAATTCATTAAATCATTCTTGGAAATGATTTTTCTGCAAAAAGGGCAGAAAAATTACAATTTTATCAAAGCTTCAGTATTTCAAGGGAAAAAAAGAGGCAGTGGTGGTGCTGAGGAATACACCGGTGGGCTAGGCCTAGGGCCTTAGCTGTGCTGGTACCATCTGAGCTAGTTGTATGTGACCTGTATTTACTCCATAGAAAATGTTCTCAAAAATGGTGAAAGCATTTCCTGAAGAAACTGTAACTTGGGAAGACAAACCTCTTCAAATAGAGTGGAAGGAGAGAGGAAAACAGAGCTAAGGTACAATAACTGAAAAATTACATTCTAGTTTTCATTTCTGTATATGCTTTTTCTACTTCTGGTAATAAAGTTGCAACACTATAACGTATTGTATTTATAAGTTAAAATGTTGCTATGAAACAGGTATCAACAATGTATTTGAATATTTTTGATTATGTTCATGACATAAAAGCAAACCTAGCTATGATCATCTATATTTTTAATATGCATAAAGTATACATATATACCATATATATTGCCTTTATCCTTTCCCCTTTGACACTTTGCTTAAGAACATTTTTCATACAGGGCATTGCCTGAGCATATGACCAGCTGGAATTAATCAATATGACAAACCTGGCCATGAATTAGTCATTAGCAGTCCCAGGAATGCCCTCTGCATCAATTGTTAATGGCTTAGTTATCAACTTTGTTTTACTTTCAATGTGTGAAAATTTCAATTATTTTTCCATTTGGTTTAAACATCTGGAACTTACCTGGTAAACAACAGATGCTTTATTAAGAAAACTAGAAAGAGCAAATACTCCTGCCACATCTTGATGATTTCTATATGCTAAATGCATTGCCATGCACCCTCCCATAGAAAATCCTCCTAAAAGAAGCAGAAATTCACTTAGAAAAAGCAGAATATATGCAACAATACATAGATACATAATTTAGAAGATATATCTATGCCAGTTTTCCGTAAGTATTTCAAAAATATTTGAAGACCTTTAAAGTAATATAGTGCTAACAAGAAATTTAATCTACTTCAGATCTTAAAGAAAAAGATATACCACAACAGTTCTACCTGCATCATCACTGGTAAAGAGATTTGTTATAAAAAGAGCTAGAACTGAACAAGGAAATCATGTTCATCAAGTAAAAAATACTTATCATAATTCAACATATGAGTCACACACAGTACAAGTGATACTTAAACTTCTAATGTCTACTTACATTTTGTTTATACTTATGAGTTTTCACACTGCAACTAGAATTAGAAAGTAAATGTAATTTTTGTATTGCCAAGCTGTGAACTCCATGAGGAGTTATATTTCTAGTGTCTCCCATATAGTAGACGCTCTGTAATCTTGGATTTAGGGGAGATGATTAAAAATATGGTGAGCTAGTTAAAACATTTTTGGATTACAATATTATTTTGGAAACTAACTTGTGGTATAATGAAAACATATATACTCATATGAACTTTTTCAAGAGTTACAAAAATAATTTACTCATTTGACAAACTCTTCTTTTATGTGTCAAACACTGTGCTAATCACTAGAGATAAGGCAGATTAAAATATAAAATACATGGGCTCCATGTTCCCTTCAGCAGCACATATACTAAAATACATGGACCCTTCTCTTCGAGGGAAACATCACAGAATACGGAGGTAGACACAGGGCAGCACAGTGAAGGTGGTCTAACTCTGGTTACAGACTTCATACGTTACTTCCAGCTCGAGTAAGAGTTAAAGGACATCTCATTTATGTTCTGTGAGAAATAAATAAGGAAGTAAATCATATAGCCAAACACTTGTGGAAATATAAAAACGTAATTGGATATAGAATTCACATTTGATTTCAAGCTTCCTGCATCATTTCACTTAACAAAATGTAAAGCTGAGCTCTCAGAGGCCATAAATCTGAGTTCACTAATATCTCCTTTTACAGATGAAGGGAACTGAGGCCCAAGGAGATTAGGTGATCTAATTAAGGTTGCACCCCTAATTTTAGCTACAAAGCTGGAACTGTTGGAATCCAAAAGGCTTGCAACAGAGTTTAATGCACTCTGTGTCCTCTGATATTTATTAAAATCAAACCACTTTATCTACAGATTGATAATATTCTGGACCCAGGATAATGTACGAGTGAACATTACTAACCCTGGAAAGTTTAGATTTTTAAAAGGGCCTAAAATGTAAATAATTACAGTGTATGACAAAGATCACATCTGTGATTTTCAACATAGCAGAAAAAATAAAAGGGTCTCATCAGTAGCAGCAGCTTACCATGGATGAGAACTACTTGAAAGGTTCCTTCAAAATAACCTCCACACCAACCACAGCTGTAGATACATCATGAATAAGCTTGGTGGGGAAGGGGAGCATAAACACCTGAAAATTTTATTAAAATTTGCACGTGCATCAGATTCCCAAAAAGGCTAAAAGTCCTAGGCTACATTATGTATGAATTTCTGCATTAATACATCTTTGACATACCCCGTTTGGAAATGAAGAATTTACTACAGACAAGATTAGTATTTCTGATAAACACACCAAGTGTACAGAAAGAATTCTAAGCTAATTCAGTTTTGCCACAATTCTAGTTACAGACTTCACTTCTCAAATTTACTGTATATTATGTGGGTTATAAAGCAAACACATTTTGAAATACAATTCTTAACTTTTGATTTTATTGAAATTAGTTCTCTAGATTTTGAAACCCTTATGGGCAGGAAACAGTCCTTTCTTCAATCATTACACTTTGAGAGTTTATGATGAGCTAAGCAGTGTCTCCACCCACTTGGCCCACACATGCTAATGAGCTGGCTTCACCATTTTACGTGCCCAGTGGTGAGTACAGAGCACATTAGTGGCAATTTAATAAAAGTTTAATTGAACTTTTAGAATCCATATAAGATCAAAGTAATAAAAAGTTATGAACATCTTCTAATTTTCTAATTTAATGTTTGGTGGGAAGAGGACCATGAGGCTGAAAATGAGGGCAGCAGTTCTAACCCTGCCAGTGACATTCCAGTTGAGAGTCTTTGGGTGAATTATTTAAAATCCAAGAGTTCATTTCCAGTAAAATTAGATAGCTGGACTAGATGTTATATAGGATTTCCATCAAGTTTTTAAATCTATTTACAAATGCTTAATGATCACACAAAAGTCAAGACATGGGAAAGTCAAACAGCAAGGACTTACAAAATTTGCAGTTATTGTAAATATAGAAGTCTACTTTAAGTTTAGCAACAAGAATTCAATCGGATTTTGTTTCCTTTGGGTAAATTACTGGGTCATATGGTGTTTCTAAGTTTTTTGAGGACCATACTTCTTTCCATAGTGACTGTACCAATTTACATTCCCACCAACAGTGTAGGAGGGCACCCTGCTCTCCACATTCTCACTAACACTTGCTATTTCCTGTCTTTTGAACAGTGGTCATTCTAACTAGGAATTTACCCAAAGAAAACAAAATCCTTGATTCAGAAAGATATATGGACTGCTGTGTTTATTGAAAAATTATTTACAATAGGCAAGATACGGCAGCAACAAAAATGTCTATCAACAGATGAATGGATAAAGATGTGGTACAGGTACACATGTCATATTATTCAGCCATAAAAAAGAAAGGAATCTTGCCACTTGAGATAAAATGGAAGGACCTAGAGGATATTATGCTAAATGAAATAAGTCAGGCAGATAAAGACAAATACCATACGATTTCACTTATTTGTGGAATCTAAAAACAAAAGAAAATAAGCAAAACAGCAGTAGAATCAGAGACACTGAGAAGTGACTATTGGCTAGGGGAAGGGTGGGTTGATGGTAGGGAGGGTGAGGGAGATCGAGAGGCACAACAATCTCAATCAAAATACAAGTTGGTCACAGGGACGGAAGTGCAGCATGGAGAATTATAGCCAGTGGTTCTGCAACATCTTTCAGGTTGACAGTACTTCATTAGTTGGGATGAAGACTTAATAAGGTATGCTAACTCTTTAACCACTGTTGTATACTTGAAACCAATATAATATTGTGTATCAACTATGCTTCAATAATAAAAAGAATCCATACCTCTCAAAATATAATTTTCACTTTCATTAAAGTTCACAAAATCAATTTTAGCAAATGCTTCCTTCCTTCATCTCTTCTGATCTCTTCTTTTCCCCATTTACTTACAAAAATGAATTGAAGGTTGCTTACAATGCAACATACTTTAATAATAAAATGGCTCTCTAAAATGAGGATAAAATGTGAGGGAGAGATGGGGTCCTTTGGGGAAGAACAAGAGATAGAGAATGAAAGAGAATGAGAGGAACAAACCATAATATAGCGGGAGGCAGTAATTAGGGGTAAACTGGACATTTAACTGCTTCCCTGCAGAAAGTCAATATTCTTTAACAGAAGAAATCATGCCAGATCATACTATAAACTTTTCCTAGCACTGAATTCCTAGGTGGAATTTACCAAGTACATCTTTATTAAACATGAAACTCAAAATCAGACATTGTACATACAGCTACTTCTGCCATTGACTCTTTTATAAAAAGTCTGGGCACAGAGACTTAATATTCACTAGACTGTAAGGTTCACGTTAGCAAGGAGTTATGTCTGTTTCACTCACTGACATATTCTCTGTATGCTTAGAACAGTGCCTGGCACATACTAGGTGCTTAATAAATATTTTGTTGAATAAATGAGCAAACGCTGGTTGTAGTTCCATAAGACTGTTCACTGTAAGGAGATAAGTCTATACATTCAGGAAATGTAGCTTTCTGAGCTGACCTGATATAAGCAAAGCTTAGAAAATGTAGAAGTAAATGGTTAGTGTGCTCCAGACCAATGATTCATAAATCTGGCTCCTGAAAGATTCCCAGATTCAGCCTTAGACCCATTAACACAATCTCAAAGCATATGTCTAATTTTTAAAAGCCCTTAAACCCATAAATCAAATATATAAGAATCACAGTCTTAGAAAAATGCCAATAACTGCAAGGCAGACAATCAAAATTAAGTATAATGGGCAAGAACAGAAAGTGAAAATAAGGTAATAATTTTTAAAAAGTCCATGTTATAGATACCAAGACTGTAGGAACAAAGATTTTATTTTTTGGAGAAATTCAAGAGCTTGAATTATGTTTTTCCCCAAACACACCTATGGGACATATTAAATGTGACTGAGGAACTTAATGTTTAATTTTATTTAATTTTAATTAGTTTAAGTTCAAATAGTCACATGTGGCCAAGGGCTATCACACTGGATAATGAAGTTCTAGATAAATCTAAGCTCTCCAATGACTGAACAGAGCTTCAAAATTCCTAGGTGGAGCAAAAAAAAGTTGCAAGGAAAGATAATATTGAGGATAAGATTAAATGTGATCTCTTAATGTGATAAAGATTTTTCTAAAAACCCTATCACAAGATAAAATGTGAAAACAGATTAATAAGCAAAAACATATTAAAAAATGATTTGAAAAGCATACCTACTGAAAAAATTGAGAAATATTAAATTGCTCCAAGCATCACTTCATTTTCATTGACCAGGGCAACCTAATCACTTTTTGTGGTTTCAAAGCCCCCTTCATGGGGCCAGCCTAACAACAAAATATTAAGAAAGAAAACATTTTTCTCACATATGAGATATTATTATGAACGAATATAAATACATCCTGCAGACATTTAACCTCATGTTCAATTCTTGTAATTTACAATGAAGAAGGACATACTCATTGAAATCTTATTATTTAAAGATTTAATCTAAGTCCTTCACCCATTTATAATCTTGTGAGGTAATCTGCAATTTCTCACCAGCCGTCTTCGACAATACAATCACCTTTAGTATCAGACACTACTATGAAAAGGGATATTGTGCATTTTTTTCTTATAGAAGAAAATTTAACACAAAGGACTAGTTATTTGAATTCAAGTTCCATCTAAATGTCTAAAATGAAATATAAAACATACTGTTCATAAGTAAATACCAAATAGTAAACTCATTGTAGGTTACAGTTATAATATATATTTATGGTTGCTGGCAAAGTATTAAAACGTCAAGAGTTAATGTTTTAACATACATTTAAGATTAACAAGCTGAAGAGAATATGTTAAAAAATAATAAACCTAGCTTTTATGAACTCTTTAAATAAAACAGAAACAATGTATAAAATCTATACTGAGAAAACTAAGCTAACCTATCTGAAAACAAAATCCAGAGGAAGAAAAACTACTTAAAATTCACATTTACTACCAATTGAATAGGATTTTAAAATATAATAAATTTACTTTCCCTCCAAATTTCAAAAATTCTTCCATTTAATTTATATAATTATTCCTCAGACTGAACTGTGATAAAGTCTCAAAGGCTTGGAAATATATATTTATTTGTGTATTTTCTCTCCTATAAAATTTACAGGAAAAACAAAATATTTATCAATCTTCTATGAAAAAGTTGTTAGAACACCATTCTCAAGCCTTTAAAGTTCTGGCAATTGCTGAAGAAACATAAGTTGTTTAATTCAGACATTCATTATGTTAAAAGAATGGGGATAAAAGGACACAAAAATCTCAATCATAATATAAACTGGTCATGGGGATGGAAGTGCAGCATGGCGAATATAGCCAATGGTTCTGTAACATCTTTCTAGGTTGACAGTAACTGCAAACAGCTGGGGTGAGGATTTAAGGATTTTTAACAATACCTGTAACTGCTGAAACACTGTGTTGTATACTTGAAACAAATATAATATTGTGTATCAACTGTACTTATATATATAAAAAAAAAGAATCTTATCAGTCCCAAGTTGTAGCTCTATGAAAGAACTTCAGAAGAAACCTGGATAAGGTCAGGATTCTGGTGCTAGGCTACATCTTATTAATTCCAACTATCCCTTCATCTTTATTCTAAATTTCATCATAAAATTAGTATATTAATACATACCCACCATGTGAAATGTTTCGACCCTACAGAAATAAAGAAACGAGTCGTCCAAAATTTTACTACTCATGCATAATTCTGATGTTTTTTAAAATTCACTTTAACAATTAAACACTCTACAATGAGCAATTTACTACCTTACTTGGCCTTTCATCTAATGCTGATTTGAACTTCTTTCAGAATTACGAAACTTTGTAATTAGTTTTTACTCATTGAAAACAAGCTAAGTGCCCTGCATATAAATAAATATATAGTATTTAATGGTTATATAATATTCAATTATATTAATAGACTATAATTCCCTTAACCATTTCCCCCATGACAGGTATTTAGAGTATTCATGTAAATTACTTAGGTATAATTCCAGAAGCACTTAATTCTGATCTCCCTGGTTCAAAATTCTGATAGTATGTCATATTACCAAAATTCTTATATCTGGTCTTATCATCTGTCAGTTCTATACATCCTAGATCAAAGTTAAACCTAAATTATATCAATTTCTCTTAACAACAAATTATCACCACCTAGTGGCAAAAAAAGGAATCTCATTCTGGTAGGAAGTCTTGACTAAGTCAATGGATCTGGGTTCTAGTCCCAACTCTGTTTTAGTAACTGCAATAGTAACTAGCCAATAATCTCTTTGAATTTTAGTTTCTTTATATCTGAAATGAGAATAATTTCCTATTTCACCTCTTACCAGGCTCAAGAGAGATACTGCATATTAAAACAGCTTGTACAATTTAAACACTATGTAAATTAATTACCACTTTTGTTTACTTATTTTTAGCAAACATTTTTCAAGACATTATTCAGTGAGAATATATACTAAGATGGACATTATAATATAGGTGGTAGAAGTATCAAATGATACAACCATTCATGAAACGGATTTGACAGTATGTATTAAGAGTCTTAAAAATATTCAGCTAAATGGAAGAATCAAGGGCTCAGAAATAAAGTAAATCATTTTATTTAAAAATTTTATTTTTAATAAGAATTATACTCCAAATTTAAAAGAAAATCTCTAAAATTCTCATTACCTCTCTGACCTTACGATAATCCATAGTCTTTTTGAAAGATGAATGAGACAAAGTAACTGATGGATCTGGGGAAGGCGAGGGGTGGAGATGGAAGGAGAGACGAGTATATGGCAGTTATAAGTCAATGTGATAAATTCTGTAAAACTTGCACATTAAGAGTACTAATTAGAATATTTGCTGTGTTTTTATGAAGATTTTATAATTTTATTTTAAAGCAGTTCTTACCCTATCTTTTCCTACTGTCATTACTTCAGGATCTCGCTACCTTATAAGGATATAGTCAGTAACTGGTTTTCCCATACCCAACTTCACATATCTTCACTTAACTTCTGCCAGATTTTCTTAGAGCATAGTTCGATTTAACTATATGACTCAGAGACCTTCTCTAACCAACCCTCACCAATTATCTACGGAATAAAGGATAAAAGAGTACCCCAAAAGAATTTAAGAGTCTAGAATGAGTCAAGTGTTTAGCAAACAGCATCTCCCAGTAAAACAGATACTGGGTAATTATCCCCACTTTATAGATGAGGTGGCAAAAATTCAGTGTAGACAATTAAGTGAACCAGCGAGGCAGTGGTACACTTTAGATTTGAACTCATTTTTGCCACTACGTCATGGTGCAATTCTGTCCCTTAGTCCAGGTTTCAGAGTCAACAGGGCACTTTCCAGTCAAACAACAAACTTTCTGCTAAAGCTGTTAATATCCAGACTGATGAAAACAACATGAACTATTTTTTCTATTTCTATTTACTGTTCCTATCATTCTTCACGACTAGACCTCCATATTACAAGTAAAATTTTCTTTATTTGTGCATCTGAAAATCTCAAATGCCATTGATACCTTCCTATTAAACTCTTCGAACAGTCTATAGTATAAATAATCTCTTGTCTAAATTTTGTGGTACTTGATTACTTAATCATCAATTCACTGATCCAGGCATGCCATTCACTATAAATTTCCTAAGCACTTGCTCTGTGCCAGGAATTGTGATGGGTTCTGGGAAATAAGAATAAATATACATGATCATTCTCTTTGCAGAGCTGTCGGTTACACTGCTTTAGGGTATTCATCACAGGCTTACTGTATGACATTACACTTTCTATTTTAAGTACCTCATGGGCTCTTAGGTTGTAAGCAATTGTCAGACAGATCCTGTTTTATTTATCTATACGTCCCTTTAGGCATCTCACATATTTCCTGGCACACAGCAGGAACTTAGAAAATATTTGTTCCAATGATTGATTGAATGCCGGAATCTGTCATACATTCACACATTTTGAATTCTATCTTATAACTATTTTATAATCCCTAAGACTGAGTTGGGTGCTCTCCCAGTACACCTCCCAGTACTATAGGTCTAATAGCGCAGCAGTACTCATGCGTACTATAGTACTAATGTTTTACATTTCTATTAGAGGTAAACAGAGGTGTTAAAAACAGATACAAAGAAACATAGAAGTAGAGTTAAATAAAGATGAGGAAACCAAGGCCCAGGCAGCTGATGTTCTTAGGCTGGAGGGCATACTGTTTCTAATGAACAAAAGTGGAAGTTGAAGGTAAAGCAGAAAAGACTGGATTCTATTCATTTTACCACACTGCCTCTCAACTTAATGAACAGCTCAGTACTTCAATAAACACAAAGGAAGTTTTATAAATTTAACCAAATCCTGTTTATATAGGATTTCATTATAAATTTTAATGTTATTTAGAACATGACAGATATTTACGTTGCTTTATTATTTCATCATTAAATACAAGTCATTATAGTTATAATTGAAAATAAAACTGTTTCCCCCCAAAATATCCTGTACCATCTACATTCTACACAGCCAATCTCATTTTTATATGTATTACAGGAAGACATTTTAATAATTTAATAATATTAATGATTACAGAAAGAGAAAAGGGTATTCAGTAAGAAAGCTTATAAAAAGGAACATTGTCTTGGGAACAGAGATTGCTAGGGACAACATGTTTAATAAAAGTACATAAATACCTTATTTAGTGTTCAATATTAAATGTAAAATTTAATTTTATATCTGAATGTGTACTCCATCTCAATTATGGTTAAACATATTAATAAAATTTAAACTAAAATGTCTTAAAGACTGAAATACTCTCAATTGAAAATTAAATATGGAATTCTCAAATTATGTTTCATTAAAAAGAAAATGAATTAAAGTGTTATGAGCTGTTGTTTATAATTCTAATTCTAATGTCCTTGAAACCCTTAATAAAAGTTTATTTCTCTTAATAGGTTAAATGATACACAAGTGTTTCTAAATAATATTCCAAATAAAGTTCAATGTATAGAATTAGATAAAAGTGAAAAAAAAATACCAACATTTGAAGGTCTTACCTACTAATATCCTGTTCTTCTTGATGCCACTTCTTACTTCATCATCAATCAAATCTGTAAGCACTTGACACATTATATCGATTGATTCAAGGTGTTCTGGGCAGTCATTAGATATTTTAAATCTGTCAAACCAAACATTGGAGATTCTTCCTTTCATAGGAGTATAGGGCCTGTTTAAAACCGAAAAGAGAAGAAACAGAGATAAAGGATTAAAGAAAGGAAAAAGGAATGATATTAAAATAGATATTTTAATTTGTAAACATTAGTGCTTTGAAGAAATAATTCCAATTTTCTCCCAAGTTTTATAAGTTAAAGAATTCATTTAAAAGCATTCCCATGCAGGAGGATTCTGGGAAGATGGGAGAGTACACAGAGCCTGAATCTACCTTCTTCCACCTACACACCAAATCTATACCTACACACAGAGCATTTCACCCTGAAGAACACAGGCGGAAGCAAACACCTGCGGGACAAAGTAACTGCAGAGCTTCGCCCCAGCACAGCACCAGCTCCGGGGAAGGGGAGGGATTCTGCTCCGACAGGGAGTGTAGACTCTCTGCTCTAGTGCGAGAGAAAAGCCGAGCAGTTAATGATTCAACTACACTGGAAGTGAAAGAACCCAAGTTTCAGGACTAAAACATCGGCTGTATGGCAAGGAAACTGGGAAGCAGTCTGGGATCTGAGGAGCTGGCCAGCCCACTGTTTGCTTTCCTTCCTCACTGCATAGTGAGGCCAAGAGCAGGATCTGGGCACACACACCAATCTTAGACTTGGTCTGGACAGCCCCCTGAACCCTGCCTATATATCCAGGAGCACTCAGAAGATCCAGCAGTCCCACTTTGCTGCCTGCTGTCATCCACCAGCCTACTCCCAATCAGTGGAACCAGAAATTTCCCAGCCCATAGGGAGGGAGCATGATTCTGTAGGCCAGTCAGTGCTGCTGAGGCAACACCCCAGAGCGGCCTGGAGCATGCATCTGCTGCTAGGGAACACACATGTGGCCTGACTAAGGCCGCCAGTGGGACACAGAGGGTGCTGATGTGGGAATTCCCTGGAGCAGCTCAGAGCACAGAGGAGCTGCAGGAGAAGGTGCACAGAGCCCAAGTCCCTGCTGCCAACAGGACTCAGCAGGTGCCTGACATGGGATTCTCTAGAATGGGCCAGAGTGCACATGGGCCTCTGGGCAAGAAGTAACCAGGGACTCAGCTGGAGCCAATCTGGGAGTTGCCTGGAGTGCAGCCCTGACCTGCTGCTGGCCCACCACTCTACCCCCACCAGTGCAGAAACTGCAGTTGTTCCCCTAGGATCCCCTCCAATAGGTCCCCAAGAAGGTGACCCTGGGAGCATGCCCTGAAAGCCCCAGAACCAGGAAAGATAGTCCTACATCCACTAGGCCTACAGCTTGCCAAACCACAGGCACAGAAGTCTACACAGGGGACCCCCTGACACAAGGCACATCCTTCGAGCCTGGGAGAGTGGTTTTTCTCAACTAGTTCGTAGAATTAAGCACAGAAAGTCATACAAAATTAGGAGACAGAGGAATATACTCCAAAAGACAGAACAAGAAAAAAAATTAATGAAATAGTTAATCAATCTACCTGATAAAGTGTTTAAAGCAATGGTTATAAAGATGCTCACTGGAGAAAACCCAAGCTGGGCTTTGATAAACAAATGGAAAGTCTAAAATACAACCATCAGAAATGAAGAATTCAATAGGTGGAATACAAAGCACTGGAGGGAATGAACATCAGACTAGACAGATAATGCAGAAGAAAGGACCAGCGACTTGGAAGACAGAGTAGTGCAAAGCACTCAAGCTAAACAGCAAAAGGAAGAAAGAATTAAAAGAAATGAAGACAGGGAAAGAGAGCTCTGCGACGTCATCAGACATCCTAACATCTTCATTATGGGAATCCCAGAAGCAAAAAAGAGAGACAGAAAGGTGCAGAAAAAATTGTTTGAAGAGATAATAGCTGAAAACTTCCCTAACATGGGGAAGGAAACAGTCTACCAGGTCCAGGAAGAAAAGAGAGCCCCAAACAAGACGAAGCCAAGGAGGTCGGCATGAAGACACATCATAATAAAATTTTTTTTTCTTCCCAGAAGAAACTCTATAGGCCAGAATGGAATGCCATGATATATTCAAAGTGTTGAATGGAAAAAAACCCTAACCAAGAATA